GTGGCAACCCCTGAGCAGGGAAGTGTGTCCTCATCCACGCGGCTGTGTGAGGAGGGATTCCCCAGGTGGGAAGCGTTCCCATAATGTTACTCCTGATTTTCTTTCTCTCCAGCACGCGTTGCCGCTCCCAGGCTTTCTCCTCCTCGCCCCGAACATCTACCACCACGCAGTCCTCTTCAGCCAATCTGGTGAGTGTTGCCCGCAGGGATCCCTCCTCTCCTACGTTTTCTCTCCCTGGGAAATGCTCTAGGAAGCCCGCAGGGAAGTAGTTGTCTAGCTCACACTGTTGCCTCTGGATGTTCAAGCCCTTTGCATTGGCAGAAAGAAAAAACCCACTGCCCTGAGGACACTGTCCAGTGTCTTCTGCATGGCCAGATGCCAGCATAGGTCACTTGAGCCTGTTCATTAATAGCCTTGCACAGTATTTCTAGCAAGTTAACCCTCCTCCTCTAGAAAAACCTAATGAAAACATGAGACAGGGGACTCTTGGGGAAAGGGACATGCTAGCTCAAGAAGAGGAGTGACAGAAGCAGAACCTCAGCTCTGGGTGAGGACACCGACCCGGTGGTTTGAGTTTTGTTTGTGCTGCACAGGCTCTCCCAGGCTGGCCCCGGGAGCCTCTCCGAGCAGCTCAGAACTGTGTGGTTCCTTCATCCTGTTTTGGCACGGAGAAAGTCCTGACACAAGACAGAGCTTTTCTTTTTAAGTCCTTTTCCTTAGCCTACTTCTTCCCTTCCTCCTCGCAGAAGCCCATGCTGGAACATCTACATCTCTGGTATTTGTCATTTATTGCAGTAAGAACAAGGTAATGCTCAGTCTGCAGCAAAATCAAAATGCACCCACATTTCAGTCAGCAAATTTAGCAGAAACCTCATGGAGCTTCAGTGTGCCACAGGCTGTGGCCCGTCCTCAGCAGGAGAGAGGCACTTTCAGCCTCCTTGCACCTCCCCTTAGCCCACGCAGACGTAGTGTCCCCCAGGGAGCTGTGCCTGCAGCATCAACCTGTTGCTGTTGAAGGCCTCCCATCTCCAGGGCTTTGCATTTTGAGTTCCTCTCTGTCCATGGAAGCCCGGGGCTCTCACCTGGCTGATCTCTCTAGGGCAGGAATTGATGGTTTGGTCTCCTGGGACTTCTCTTTGCAGGGGACCACGTGGCACAGTCTCAGCACTGCTGGAAGTCGATCCCAGGCTGGATGTGGGTTTCTCACTTCTTTTTCTCCCCACAGAGCCATTTCAGGTCCCAGTGATCGGGGTGACCCTGCCAATCATGTGGTTCTACCTCCTCATGAACGTCATCACTCAGTATCCTTTCCTGCACACCTCGGGCAGGGAACGAGGGCCCTGAGCCTTCCCCGGGCTTGGGAGCTGATTTCCTGTTACTCCTGGTGAAAGCAGAGTGGAATTTAACCGGGGGCTTCTATTTTTTCCAGGACAGCTGAAATCTGCTAGTGGAGCAGCTAAGCTAAGCTAACTAGGTGGTATCAAAGTGCCACAGCTCCGGGGGATCAGGGGAGATTTAGAGTAAACCTGAGTTTTGCACTGCTGCTGCTTGTGGTGTCGAGGTGAGCAGAAGGGATTTTTATTCCCTCTGAAACTAAGAGGGAATTTCTCCGAGGGTTGGGCAAGGTGAGTAGAAAAAGGGTTAGTGCTGCCACGTGGAGAGAGCTCGGACACTCCAGCTTGATCTCGTGTGGGGTTTTGTGGTACACATTCAAGAACTTCCTTGGTGTGAGGGTGCCAGAGCCCTGGCACAGGCTGCCCAGAGAGGCTGTGGAGGCTCCTTCTCTGGAGATGTCCAACCCGCCTGGATGCCACCCTGTGCCCCGTGCTCTGGGTGTCCCTGCTGGAGCAGGGGCTGCACTGGGTGATCCCTGGAGGTCCCTGCCACCCTCAGCCGTTCCGGGGTGCTGTGAACTCTCCCGTTGCTCCCTTGCCTCTGCCGCCCAGATACGTCTGCATCCGGGGCGTCTTCATCCTCACCACGGAGTGCACCTCGCTCACGGTCACGCTGGTGGTGACGCTGCGCAAGTTCGTCAGCCTCATCTTCTCCATCCTCTACTTCCGCAACCCCTTCACGGCCTGGCACTGGCTGGGCACCTTCTTTGTCTTCGTGGGCACCCTCATGTACACGGAGGTCTGGAACAGCCTCGGGCCGCTCCTGGCGCGCGCGAGGAAGAGGCCCAAGCAGGAGTAGCGCCCGGGGACTCTCCGCAGGGACCTTTTTAGCGTTTTATGGAGTTGAGCAGCAGGGAAGCCCCCCACGAGGGGTGTTTTTATAATGCAGGGGAGGCGCTGGCTGTGCCAAGCGCCCAGGAAGCCCCCACCAGGGATCAGTGCGTACGGATCGAGGAGGGAGGTGATGGCTATTTTTGTAAGATGGCATTCTTTTTAATGCAATCCCTCTCGCTCCCACTTTTTTTTTTCTTTTTCTTTTAATAACCCGTTATTATATAATGCAAAGGCTGACCCAGCTCTCCGTGAGGAGCCCAGCCCTGTCCTGGTGCTGTTGTCCATCCTCCCGGCTCTGGCGAGATGGACCCTGAGCCCATTTGGTGCCGTCCGTGAGAATCCAGGTTGCTGCTGGGGGTAGCTGAGCCCCAGGGAACCTCTGGATGCTGCAGTGGCTGCAGCAGGTTCCTAGTTACACTGGAAATCCCAGGCCTGCTGGTTGACCAGGGAAACCAAAAAAGGGTCATGTGGTGGGGACAGAAAATGCCGCCGTGTCCCTTTCCTTCTCCAGGGGACAGTGGCCCTTCCCTGTGATTCCCCCAGGGACATACCGTCCTCTGTGTGTGGCTGGTGCTTGGAAGCTTAAGGAAATCCGGCAGAACTGAGCCTCTTTCTGCTGCTATTGGGGGTTATTTTGACTTCTCTAAGAGGAAGGAACCAGGTCCACCCCCGTTCGTTTTCTTCTCCCGCTCCTTAGCCGTTTGCTTCACTTGTGGCAGGGGGAATAGAGCAGAAAAGGGAGCCCATGGTTGAGTTTTCCGCTCTCCTGCTTTCCCTGGAGCGCCTCGTTGTCACCGTCACGACCCCAGCCCCGCTCAGCCGCCGTGTCCGGCGCTGTCGACCCCGTTTGGGACCGTCGAGTTTGGACAAAGGAGGACGGTGGCTTCCAGCCTCGGCGTTTCCTGCCTGTAATTTCAGTCCTGCCTGGAAATGCTAAAACCGGCAGCAGGTCCGGGAGGGTTTTTCCCATCTGCTTTCGATGTTTCCTGTAAAACCTCCTGCATTTTTGAGTGTCACAAATGGGATATTTCCAAGGATTTTCTAGGAGCGGGGACTGTTCCCCAGCAGCTGCCCCCAGCCACGTCACTGGGTCCGGGGAAGACCCAACCAGATGCAAAACCTTTATCCACATCTTGGTCCCCAATGCAGGGGCGAAGCTACTTCCCCAGGGCAGCAGCTGAGTCAGGGGCACTAATAAATGGGGGTCCTCAACGCTTAAAACACGAGCGTATCCCAAAAGCAGGAGCCGTGTCCAGCTGAGGTGGCAATTTGGGCAGCTCGGGGCAGGGATTTGGCCAAGCACGAGCTGAGCAGGCTGCATCATCCCAGCGAATCCCTGGTGCCATCTGAGCTGCTGCCTGTCCCTGCTCTGGGTGATGCTGGTAGGTTTGTTCTTGGGTTTCCTTTTTCTCCTGCTGTACTTGGTTTTCCCTTGAACCAATTCTCTACACTGGGTTATTTTTTGTATTTTTTAGCTATTGACGGTGCAATCTCCGTGGTTTTGGGTATTTATCACCGCTAAAGGCAGCGGCAGCGATTCCCTCCCTGCTGTTGGAGGACGGGTCCATGCAGAAGTGCCCCCTTAGCCAAAACACGAATTTGCAGCCAGGTCCCCTGCACTCGCTGTGGCCCTTCTGGCTTGTTTGGGGGTTTAATGGTCACCACAATGATGCGAATGCTTTTGGGCCAGCCCTCTGCATTGCCAGAGCTTTTGGGTTAGTTTCTGTTTGTTTGTTTATTTGTTTTTGTTAATCAAATAAACCTGCCTCCGCTTCCAAGCGTCCCGCTCTTGTTTCTCCTTTCACTCCTTGCCAGTGGCGGTTGGATGAAGGTCCTTGGAAGGATGAAGTCAAAACGAAGCTTCTCCTGCCTTTAAGGTGCGAGGAGGTGGGACTGGCCCTTCCTCGCTGGGCTGAGAGGGACAACTCGATCGTTTCCAGCCCCTGCCACCGTTGGGAAGCTACAGGTTCCTGTTGATTTGTGTTGGCATCATTTCCAGATGCTGGCAACAAGGGGGGCCTGGGCAAACAGTCCCCAAGGAGGTGTCCGGCCACGGGGATACGGGAGCTGGGTGGTGTGTGACGCCGGGGCAGACTCCAGCTGAGCCCTCAGGCTGCAGTTTGCACCTTAACATTTCACTGGGTTCACAGGAGGGCAGATTTCCTGACGTGGGATATTTGGGAGTGCTTGGGGGACACAATTTCTTTTGCCCCAAGCCCAGCCCAGGCCCGTGCAGGCTGCTGGCCCTCGTTGCTGCTCCCATGGCTCTCCAAAGCTTGCTGGAAATACTCAGGGTTTTATTTTTACCCCTTGTGAAGAAGGGAGAGTGAGGAGGGACGGGTACATGGGCCCCTGCACCCCCAGCTTCTCCCTGCGCCTCCTCTCCAACTCTTGGCATTTTCTCCCTCATTTTAACGGCCAAAACGAGTCATTTCTAGGGGCTCTTGGCAAAGGGAGGAGTTGGTGGGTAAAAGAGCAGGTGCTGGGGGCTGCACCCCAGTTAGCTCAGACTCTGCATCATCCTCACGCCTCCGCGGGACAGGGTAACCTACCACGGAGCCTTGGTGCCTCCAGGCTGGATGTTGTTTTCCATCTTCATGCTTCTACTTGCTCTGAAGGGTGAGCGGGGAAGAGCCTGAGTGATAAAAACACAGGAGCCTGCCTGGAAAATGAGGCTGAGCCCTGGTGACGAGGGCTCCTCTCCCTCTGCCGCAGAGGAGAGGGCAAAAAATAGCTCAGGAGCGTGAAATATTTTGCGGAGGTTACCGAAAGGCTACGGCCAAGGATGGAGATTCGCCGTGGGGTCTCATCCAGGATGGGGAACCGCTTGGGTGAGCGTCCAGCGCCACAGGAGCGAGTGGGCGACTCTGCTTGGCCCTGTGGGAATGACAAGTGTTAAATGGACCCGTGTTCGGGAGACCCAAGTGCAGCCCCATGGAGCCACGTGGGCGTCTTGGCCCCGCACGGGTCTCTGCTTCCGTGGGGGTGGGAGACGGTTGTCCCTTGAGTCGGGAAATGCAGAAAACGGGGGAAATGACAGCAAACGGTGTCTCCTCGCCCCCCCTCCCAGCGCTGGTGGAAAAAACATTATAATTGGCCTTGACAGCTGCCAAATTAGCAGCGCCTTATGCAGCACTTGCAATTAGCTGCGGTCCCGCGGGAGCAGCGGAGGGAGCCGGGAGAGGGATTTTTGGAGAGGGATCTGCACCCCTCAGAGGGATGAACAACCCCTTGGTCACCAGCAGCGACTACTCCCCATCTGTTCACCTGACACATTCTTTTAAAAAATAAAATTAATTACAAATGTTGCTGTTCAGAGGGATGAACAACCCCTTGGTTCACCAGCAGCGCCTCCCCCCCATCTGTTCACCTGACACATTCTTTTAAAAATAAAATTAATTACAAATGTTGCTGTACTGGTTTCGAGCTGCTGTCCCCAGCAGGTCCCAGCCAGGAGAAGGGCTCTTGGACCAAAACCATGGGACAGCTCCTCAAGGACACCAGGAGATAAGGGAATAACTGGAATATCGCCCTGCCTCAATTTGCCAGTCTGTAACACAGGGCTACTATGTAGCCATGGGTTTTATTGCATGTTGAATGATTAATTTTTTAAAAAAGGGAAATTAAACAGCTTGCTTTACTCCCCTCTGCAAAATTCAAGACTCGGAGGCTTGTTTGACGACGAGTAACTTAGGTGTTACCCTGCCGAAATGCAAACACGCTCCCTGCCAATAAAAACAGGGCTCCCCCAAACAGCCCTGCTCTTATCTGCCAGTTTATAAATATATAGGCACCAAGTTAGGAGTTCTGTGCTTGCCGCCAAAAATAAATGCTCTAAATTAAAAAACGACGAACTGCGAAGCTCCGCAATCTGCTAAATGAAATGCAAACACTTCATCCTGGCAACTCCAAGGCACCTTCTGCTTTCAAACTTGGTTGGATGTTCCTGGTCCTGGAGAGCACCAGACCCAGCACAGGTCAACGCAACGGAGATTCCTTGAGGAAACTCATAAAGGAACCTGTTTATCCTGTATGTTCTGCACTATGTAATCCAGCTATAGGGGTGATTCCTACCTGGAAGGGTTTAGCATTTGAGACTCTTCCTGTAAATATGAGTAGTTGGAGTGGCTGGGATCGCTTGGCCATATTGCATAAGGGCTTCTGCAGTTACAGCCCTCAAGCAGAGGCAGATCTCGCAGGCCAAGCACTGCGATTCAAGGATAATTTGTAATGTTTTGCTCTGTTCTAAACAGAAAGGAGAAAATACTCCATGGGAATGGTGTAGGATTGGAGCTGAATATGGAAATAGCCTTGGTTTAGGGAATGAAAACCAAAGGAAGAAGATACTGATGGGGCTGAGCTGCCACCTCGCAGCTTTGCAGACCCCTGCAGGGACCCTAACTTGGGCATTATGGAACAGTCCCCGTTTCTGTTGGTTGTTGCAATGTGGGGAATTATTTCACCACCTAAATGAGGAGGCTCCGTCTCCTGCATTTTTTCCTTTGCCAACAGAGGGTCAGACTGTATCCAGACCGCAAACACAGAGCGGAGACCTCCTTGAGTGGGGACAAGAGCCACGAGGAGCCCTGTGGGACTGGCTGGGCAGCTCTCAATGGGGAATTGAGGTGCTGGTCTCTTGGTGCTTGGTGGTAATTGGTGCAGGTCTCTTTTCAGTGGTGGCCACCAACACAACTAGAGGAAATCCCTCTGAATCCCGTGACTCCTTGGCCTCTGAAAGGGCTATGAGGATGATCAGGGGCCTGGAACATCTGCCCTATGAGGAGAGGCTGAGGGAGCTGGGCCTGTTCAGCTGGAGAAGAGAAGGCTGAGAGGGGACCTGAGCAGTGTCTAGAAGTACCTCAAGAGAGGAAGTGAGGAGGATGGTGCTGGTCTCTGTTCAGTGGTGGCCACCGACAGAACTAGAGGGAATGGCCACAAACTGAAGCACCAGAAGTTCCACAGGAACTTAAGGAAACACTTCTTGACAGGGTGAGGGTGCCGGAGCACTGGAACAGGCTGCCCAGAGAGGTTGTGGAGTCTCCTTCTCTGGAGATCTTCAAACCCGCTTGGACGCAGTCCTGTGCCACGTGCTCTAGGTGACCCTGCGTGTGCACGGGGTTGGACTAGAGGATCTCTAGAGGTCCCTTCCAATCTTCACCATTCTGTGATTCTATGATAATAGCTGGGCACCCACCTTGCCAAAACGTCTTGGGGAAACCCCCTGAGGTGCAAACGGCAGCGTTGTCTGCTCGAGCTCCTCCTGAACCTGGGCCACCGGGCATCCATCCTTGCTCCTTGGGCTGCCAAAATCAGCGATCAAAACCGGAGCTGTGGAGGGGCTGGTCTTCCTCAGCTTGGGCACGTGTTCAGCTGCTGTGTGAAAAGGAAACTGCTTAATAAAAAGCTGGGCTGTTTTATAGGCTTACTTGGAATTTCAGGTCAGGCTGTTGGAATCCATCCGTTACTCACCGTGTTGCTTTGCTCAGTTCATCCCATTTAAACAAGGAAAACCCTTGGCCACACTCTGAACTTCCCAATGAGGCAAACCAGAGCTGCAGATGTTACTCCACACTGTGGCAACCAGGCACGTCCTCTTCTGAGCATGCAAAGGGCCCATGCTACGATATAAAAGCAAACAGACCTCCTCAGTGGAAGCTCCTCAGGCCAAGGGCCTTACTCTCTGTTCTGTAAATAGACAGGAATACAAATTAATCAGGACAAACATCAATTCAAGAGTTTTATTTATTTGTCAGCGTTCTGTTCTACGTACAGAAAATCAAATCTTCAGAGTATTTGCAGCTTCTGTGAGTAGTCAGCAATTAATATTTCTTTTTCTGAAGGTCTTCGCTAGGTTGTTGGTTTAAGTACATGTGCAAATCAAAGAACTATGTCTCTTAAAAAACTACGTTTATTAAAAAGGTTTTGGAGGCAGTTTTCACTCCCACCTTAACTCTATACCTTTCAGAAAATCAGAATAACTCACAAGTTTTGCAATATAGACAATATTATCAGAGGCCATCATACTTTCACACCTCAATTAAAACTGTGAAATGGGAAGAGGAGGGAAAAATAAGTTACTCGATAAGATGTGGCTGTCAGGAAAAAAATCTATGCCATTTCCCAGCTAAGAGCACCTGGGGAAATAACTTCTAGCTTTGGGAAATGCAGAAATTACTTTTTAATAAAGTTATAAATAAATAACTTTTTTTGGAGAGGGAAGAGCAATTCAGAGTTAATCAGGAATGGATTTAGAGATAATCTTTGACAGACTCTTCTTTGATGAGGAGAAATCATATCCAAATCAGTATTCCTGTTAGTCAGAAAGACTCAACACGATCAAGACACAGGTTTGGCTCGTAGCAGCCGTCAAAGGTTGTTCCTCTTCCGCCCAGATGGGATTGGAGGTAGAACAGGTTTGGAGTTGGAGCCTGGACGGTTGGCGAGTTGAGGCACACGGGAAGAGCCAGCCTTGGACTTGGATCTTCTCGGGAGATTGTCACCAGGGAGCTCGGTCTCTGCAGAAATTATTAATAAAGAAGGGAACAAACACTCATTAGTAGGGGGTTATTTCAATGAAAAGTCAAAAAAAGCATGTCTTTATTGAAAACGAGTGTTTTGTGGAGAAATAAAAAGAAGATAAAATATCTTTGGGTAGTCTAGTGACTAACTAAATATAAATGGAAGGGTAACTTTATGCCTAAATAAACAGTCACCGTTTTGTTTTCTCCAGAACTTCATGAGAAATCCGCTATATTGTGCACACTGACGAATTATTCTACCATGTCATAAAATTGCTGATTATTACTGTGAGCTGCTTTCAGAAGCATGAAGAAGCTGCCCTACACCTCAATAAGGCTGCTGTCATCAGAGTAAGTGTGACACACGGCCTGAGCAAAGCCATTATTTTCAAATAACGTCCAAACCTTTCAATCTTTCTGCTCCGTTTTCAGCTCCTCTTGGCTCTTGTTGCTCAACTTGGTCTTCATCGGCGAGCCGAGCGTGGGGAAGGGGGGTCTGAACAAGCAAAGCTTCTGCAGCAGATGATGAGACTGGTAATAGCCCACTAGCAGGGCCAGACTCTCTGTCACTGGGAGAAGAAAATGATTTATGCTTTAAAATAGCAATAAAAAGGCATATGCAGCAAGTCTGACCTGACAATATTACTGACGTTGTTGCGGTCACATAAACCAATCAAAAGTCACATATAAACTGCAGTATTAATCAACTACAAAAACTTTCACGCATTACAATTCCCCTAAAACCTTTGGCAGTGGCAAACGCAATTACTACCCCTCTTTGATTTCACTTTATGTCTTGGTCTAATTAATCAGTCACAGACAGATAAAACAAAATGGTTCACGTCACCCGATCAATCAACCTCAGATCTGGGATCACAGCTCTGAACTTCTTGTTTCCAAATTCTACAGTTCGGCATTACAAGGTTCTCTCTTAGCAAGTGATTGAAAAGTCTAGTCTAAGGTCTAGTTATTAGTTACCTGATTAGCTTCTAATTAGAGTTTAGTACCACAGACATAGTGAGTTGCCTCAACAGGAGTCACTGCAAGTCCTATTCTCCATGGAAAACTTAGGAGACAACAGGTTCTTGCATAAATACACTTCTTGATCTGTTTCAATACTTCTTTAGAGCAACGTTTCCCTTCATCAGTTTTGTCTATATTAAAATAAATTTAGTCAAAGGACTTTCTTACTTCCCTCTGTGTTTGCGCAGTCCCCAGCACAGGGGATTCTACATTCATTCGGAGAAATGTTCAAATGTTTCCCTAGCATTTCGGTGACAATGTGGACCATGAGCAGCCATTTACCAGTGAGCAGTGTCCACAGAACCTCTCACCCTTTGGGTCTCCTGCAAAAAATGAGAAATCAAACTCAAAGCCTGAGCAGCCAGGGGCCTTCAGATTAAGGCAGGTATGTGTGAACTGGACAACAATAATGATTATTCTTGCAGCTTGCTTGGCCATGATAAAGGCTTCCTGCTGCCAACTAGGTCCTATGTTAAATTTACTTACGGAAAAGTAAGGAAAAAAGGCCTTGATTAACATAGAGAGATCAATAAATATCTATTTAACGTAAAACCATAATATATTTCTGCAGCAGTGCTTAAGGCATTTCATGTCTACCTTCAAACAGAAAGGGTTGCTCCAGTCTAGGTGAGACAAATGCTCATTAATAGATTTGTGAGTCTGGGAGGAATTGCAAGTTTTATCCACTCTGATCTTATCTATGATGCAGGCCAAAGAACTTCACCCCAGATTCCTGCAAGGAGCATTTTAGCTTGTAAGATTACTATGATCACAGCTTTCTAGGGAGAAGACCAACAGTATTTCAGTAGTATTTTAATAAATGTAAGCTATAAGAAGATGGTATCATGAATAATGAGAGAAAATAGCCAGGCACTTCCTTTAAAAATACAGATAATTATCGTATCAGTAGATGCAGTTGCCTTTAAAGCCAGAATGATTATTTCCTGTAATAGACTGAGTGCCTTTCTCGGAGCTCTGCTGCGTCCAAGGGTGCTCATCACCAAGCACTGAAGTTGCTGCAGCCAAGTGCTTAACTCGAGCTGTAATCTCATTTGAGCTGCCTGCAGTACCTATAGCCGTAATTACAACGGGGAAAAGCAATTACTAGGAGCAGTAAATTCAGGCTGGGCATAAAGAGCAGCTTGGACTCCTCTCAAAAATATCTATGCGAATTTCTGGAAGGTTGACTGCTCTTGTTTTTGCTTTAGGACACACATATTTGTGCATTTGCCTGCTAAGAAAGGTGAACAATAAGTATCTCATGGTTGGAATTAACCCTCTGTGGATCTCTAGGCATGATTCCAGGAAAGTAGGGTCTCCAAACCCAGCATCCGAAGGTTTTCAGCAGAAAGCTCCCCAGAAAACCACTTGGAGAGTGCTAAAAACTCAGTGTTACAGTAGATATCTCTGGCAATGCCATGCTAGTTGCTAGGGGAACACTTCACAGTATTTTTATTTGGGTAAAAGGCAAAATATAAATATAAATATAAATAAAATAACCCCAGGAGGAAAAGGTGCTTTTAATGGAGTACCTTCTTCCATGTGCAGAAACAGTGTAAGCTCTAAAGACAAGCAGAGCCTTGCAAGTGTAACCCACGTTTCCTTGTGGCACTAGACCAGCACATTTCCCCCAGTTTAAATTATTATATGGTTATAGTATAGTAGTTGTGATAGCAACTATAAATAATGCAGGAGGAAGAGGAGATGTTCCACTAAATGCCTCCCTGCTGTTTTGGTCTTAGCTAAGCTGTGATTCTGAATAAGCCTCATGAGGAGGCAGCACTCACCTCAATACTCACCTCAGTGCTTACTGGGGCCTTCAAGTACAAACCTCACAGGAAACATTTAATGGAGGTTCTTGTAAAATGATGCAGAATAAGAAAAAAATACCAGAAATAACAGGAAAATAGAGTTTTTGAGGTCTACACCATCTTGATATCCAAGGCGTTTGGGAAATGTGGGGCAGAGGAGCTGAAAATCTACCTCTTCTTGGTGCTTTGGGAAAATCTCCTTCATTAGAACCTGCTACTGGCAGGTGATTTGCAATGAGCTCTGATAACCCAGCTCTGATAACCCAGCTCTAGTCCTTCCCTGGAGACCCAAGCATGGGGAAAGAGAATTATTACAGGGGGAGGAGGCCTGGCTGTGTCCTGACTTGAAGGTTTTCCCATCCCCTCAAGTGTCCCAATCCGCAAAATGGAAAAGAAATGAAAATCAAAAAGTAAATAAAAGCTTCAAAGGGGACAAATGTACTCCATGGATTAAGGAGATAAATGTGCACCAAATATTGACTGTATTAGTAATGATTTGAGGATTAAAGCACTATTCTGCTGCAGGTTGTGTTTAGATTTGGCTTGGACTAGACTGCCAAAGCCTAACATGTGCCATTCCACACGATGGCACCGTATTTCAGCTGATGGATATTTTTCCAGTGATGACATTTGGCAGGAATGAGGGCTTGCAATTAAATATTTGAGATAGTTCTCTGATAAATGCACTAGTAAATGATGATCTTCTGACTCCACCACCAAAACTGCAAATGCTGAAGGCGTAGGAACAGTTTTAGAGTACACTTAAAAGAACAGTTTAAAGTACAGTTGCAAGATATACTGCCCTAAAAGACTGCTGCTTGCCAAAAGCAATGATTTATTGGTTGAGCCTATGACTGAGAGCAAATGGGGCTTCAAGCAATAAAATAAAATAAAATAAAATAAAATAAAATAAAATAAAATAAAATAAATCCAGACTTTTATGTGGGAGACAGCTTAGCCACCATCAGAGAACTTCAAAAGTTACTGGAAAGTGGCAGGACATTTTCTTTTGTGAACTCAGGAAAAATAAGATGTGAAAAATCACGCAAATAATTTGAGGTCTAGACACAAAGTTGCCCCATAAGATCGCAGGGTAATTTGCGTCCTTGAACCTGAAAAACAGTATTTGCTTCCTTGGCTGTGCCTGGAGGTCAACAATTTACTTCATGCTCTTACCCCTTGGTGTTTCTTTTTAGTTTACACTTTCTTCCACTCCAAATATTGAAAGCATATAAATGGGGAGAAAAGGGAAAAAAAGATTAAGTCACCTCAATATTCAGACAAACAACATTGCTACACATTTTACTGAGAAGTTTCAGAAGTGTGGGTTGGTTTTTTCTTTTTCCACAAATATTTTAAATATCTCTACACAACAGTTCCGTGAAGATGATAAACAAATTTTTTCTAAGCTTTCCTTACTCCCCTTTCAAAAGGACTTGACAACATGACTATAATTTTGCTGTAGGCCTGACGCATGCACACACAAAAAAGAATCAGATTAGCAGTTTGCTTTTTCTCTCCTCACAGTTGTTTTTCCACTCCGTTATTAACGGCACTAAATGAAAACACTGCTAAAGTCAAAACACCAAAGCGTGGTGGAGTGTAAAGACATATTTATTCCCATCTGCCAAGGGGGAGACCTTTACAACTCATCACAGCTTCACACTCGTTTGAGTTATAGGTCTTGCCTCTTGCTGGGAAGGACAGATGATGCATAATCCCCCTGCAACCTATTATGCACTCTGCTTCTCTCATATGTTCACTTTGTTCCCCTTCAGCACACTCCAGCGTGGCACAAAAACCCGGGACAAATGGATCTGCAGAGGCCTGTGGTTCCAAGCTTTTTACAGCATGCTAATTAAGTACTTGTAATTACAGTGGCAGGTAGTACATCACACAGAGAGGACGGGAGGTCTCTCCAGGACGCAAGGGGAACGGTGAGATTTTTTCTTTTTTCAGCAGTGAGTTTATCTAAGAATTTGCTTAACGGATCAGCTGTCAAGTGAATGGGTTGAAACCTTTGTTAAAGAGTATATGGACATTTAGCAATTTCCATTGGTTCCAGCTATGTATCAAACTATATATGTGTCAAACTGTGAGCTTGGGAGCTATTTAAAAGAGTGATTTTTGAAAGATATGAAAATATATGCATGAAAAATACCTAGTATGATATGTTTACATACAGCTGGAAATGCCTCTGAGCTGTACAGAATTAGGTATCAATCATGGGCCTGAAGCCATGATGAAATCCACATTTTCCAGCAAACACGGAGCATGGACACGAGCTCATTCTAAGCTGCAGGTTTCAGATGAGCTTCGTGCACAGGACAGTGAGGAGCGTTGAACTGAGCTGGCTCATGGCAAGGCCACGAGCACAACCCTTTTTCCATCCTGGATGGGGGAATCTGACATTTCCTATTCACCAGGCCATGCTGTGTGGCATCCTGCTGCTTAGCGTATCCCATCTGGATATGTGATCACAACAGATGGCCAGAACAGGGGAGGAAAGCTTATCCAGCATTCCTCATGGAAAGGCCACTGGAGCACTTGCCATGAGAGCGGGCAGACTTGCTGGCAGCCAGAGCTGTCCATAGGAAACGGGACCATTGGAGTGAGTCACAGCCACCTTATAGGTGGTAATTTGGACCTGCAGAGGTCATGAATTGGGGCAGGCTGCAACCCCCTCCATTGCTGAAGGCCTAAAAGACATTGAAGATGTTGCCCCTTCAAATCTTCTAGCCTCACCTCATTAAATCTTTAAATGAGATAGCAGTGGTCTTCCCACTGCGGTTGGACTCGATGATCTTGAAGGTCTTTTCCAACTATAATGATTCTATGATCCCTTGACACTTGAGAGCTGGGACACATATAAATGAGGATATTCAGCAGTGCTGAGCAGAGCAGAGATGCTGGCCAAGATAGGAAGCACAGCACCAACAGTGACCAAGACAGGAAGGGAAGAAAAAAGGTACTAGAGAGCTCAGGATTCTTATGGGGTCTGTTGTCACTGTGGACAAGATCAGAATTTGAAGATCATGAAACTACCTTGAGCCTCTCAAATGGTATTCAGCAGTAACTATGGTGATTCTCTAAAGAGAGAATGAGAAATCATTCTGATATCAGTATAAGAAACTTCTGGTAAATCTGCCTAAAATGGTTATCACTCACAATCTGCTTTTCCATACTTTGACAAGTTTATTTCGTCATTGTCTTCCTTCAAACACCCCTGTGAAAGACAGCTCTTGAAATGCTTTCTATTTGTGTGAATTATGGCATCTAAATGAACCCATTGCCACGAATGACAAGACTTTGTTTTATGAGGCAGCGACACATGTTTAATAAGGCTGTTGCTGCAACAGATGAGACAACTGCATTAGCTTGGGAAATAGTTTTAGGTCTTGCACATTAACTTGTTCCACCCAGTGATAATCTGTTCCCTCAGAAATTCAACTCACCGGCTCTCAGGGTGGGTAAGGGTGAAGCTCTGCTCTTGGGTCCCTCCTCCTGAAGATGGAGGAACCTGTGTTGTTGGCTCCAGGAGTTGTTGATGGGAGCTGCCTGGTGCTGGAGTGACTGCCAAGGGCCTGGAATGACACATAAAGAAAATGAGGTGCGTGCTACATGCATCTAGATACCATAACAGCACTGTTGGTGCTTAGCTCATGTCCTTCAGAGTGTTGCAGAGTGCTTTTCAGAGCTGCATGGTGCCAGCTCTACAGAGCAAAGTCAGTCACAGGGAAATCAAATCCAGAAGCTTCTTTATCTCTCAGATGCTTACAGAGAAGCTGACAAGCGTTTGAGCAGCTGGAGAATTCACTGGCATCTCTTGAACAAAGAGAAGGGCCTAAATTTTTGAATTTTTGCAATTAGATGCAATTTTTTTGTGTTAGTCTTTTCTATTTTTTTCTTGTTTTGTCTTTTCTGTTGCAGATGCTTTATTAAAGAGGGAACCACTTGCAGTCTACCCTCTCCTGCTCTTCACTACCTACAATGGAGGCTACTCACCCCTCTGATCTGTTGGCCACATGGTTCATGCTACTAAACCCTTTTTTTCAGTCCAAATAAATTTGGATAGCAAAGATCTACTTTTAAACTGGCCATGTTGATATGGCTCATTTTGCCTGAAGTGAGTTTACAAGACCAGTTCAGATGGAGAGGGGAGTTATCTCCAACAGGAGATACTGGGGGAACTAATCTAGGCCCTTTTTACAGTCAATGGAGATGAAGAGTCTCAGTTACAACATGAGTAAACTCAACCTTAAGTAGAGGTCTGAAGCAGGCTGGATGAAGCCAGTGAGACAGGGGAGCGTAGGGGAATTTGTTTAGATGGAGACATTCACGTTAAAGACACCCCAAACCAGGTGAGATTAATTGCAACCCTTGTGGCTAACTCACAAGGTGACAAGTTTCAGCTTCACACCTTCTGTCACCACCACTCGTAACACCTCCAGAAAAAAAAATGTTCCTGGTAACGGCAGCATCGACACCGCTTTATTTATAGCCTGGAATTGGAGAGCTAAAACCAGACACAAACAGCCTTGATGAGTGCTAGACATGAGAGCTCCTCATTGACACAATGAACTGCAGGTTGCAGCATCGACCTCTTGTATCAGAGCTATGTCACCAACACCCTTCACAGGAACATTGTCTTTTCACACCTCCCCATCTTGTCAAAGCAGAGCTGTTCCCCCTTGTTGGTCTTCTGGTGCTCCAGTGATGAAGCTTTCCCCACGCTTCCTTGGAAATCCTTTCCTCACCCAATACACAAAACTTGGAGCAAGGTTTTTCTACTACTTATCTTTACATTTTCCTTCCTTCAGTTTCACTCTCTTTTTAATACTTGTAAGTAGAGTTTTCCTAGTCTAAGTTCTCAAGGGGTGATAATGGTGTTTGGTCATTATCAGCTCGGATCGAAATCCAGGCTGATTATATGGGAGAAAGGGTTTTATTGCACTGATGCCTCTCAGAGCTGCTGAGGGCTCTCAGAAAACATTTCTTGTAAAGCAGCATTGTGAAAATAATGAAAAAATAATAAAAGAAGATGCCCTAACAAAGATCTCTACTCAATATAAAGTACAGAAATACACAGCCTGGCAAGGTGAAAGAGGCAAAGCAGAAATGTGAAATGGTGACTGAAGGTCGTTCCTGTAAGGACTTGGTGACCATGGGAGAGTGGGCAAAGATTTGCATTCAGCACCATGATCTGTTCTTAGAATCCACATGGCAGCTACTAAGTCAAATGTCTGGGTAAAAGTCAAATGAAACCCTGTGAAAAGACCAAGTATTTCAGAACAATGTCTTCATTCTGATATTAAAAGGGGCATAAAAATAAAAGCAAAAAGCAAAATTACATTGAAGTAGAGGCTGGTCGAAATAGAAGCTCTGCAGGACATATATACAACCACACGACTGCAAAAACAACCAAAGAGAGCAGGTAAATCCAAGGAGAAGAGCGTGCAGAAACCACAGGTTGCCCAATGCATCCTCTTATTTCTCCCCATCTCTGGCAGAAAGCACTGGTGAAGCTGTAAAGTACATGAATTTTCCCCAAATCAGAAAAGCAAGACAGCAGGCTGCAAATCCTCTTTAAATGAACCCTGTTCTCACTCAACCTAGTTTCTTTCAGCAACATTCAGATTAAATCAACAAGATAATCATTAGCTAAAGACCTGCTCTGACTGAGACCTCAACCCAGCCCCTTATTTATTGCCCTCAAACACGCAGACAACTAGTGCGATTACTTTCAGCTACCAAATGTTGCCCCTACATTATATTAGGCAATAAAACATCAAAATGATTTTAATTACACCTGCACACAGCCACAGGCAAAAAATAGAGAGGCTGGATTTTCAGTAATTTGGATTTAAGAAGCTGAATTTCTGTAGATAACCCCGTGGGGCTGCAATAAATAAAACGATGTAGATACTTGTTTGACACAACTCTTCAAGACTTCTAGGGCAGACTCAGGAAAACTGAGCAATATATTTCAGCTTGTGTTAAAACACATCATGACTTAGATTAAGCATTAAAGAAGCTTTTAATATTTACTCATACACAGGGAATTTAAAATAGTTATTACCTTTGGTACATTTTTTGTATATATCTTTTTGGGCATCAGTTCTATAAATTTCACAGAATTTAGATTTACTCCTGATTGAAATAGGGCTTTCATCCTCACAGGTCAACATCTTCAATGAAGTCCAAATTCTTTCCCTGGTAGCTTAGGTTAAAAATGAGTCTTTGCATTAGGAGTGACCAAAGCAGGGGTATTTTTTCTTCCTTTTCTCTTTTTTTGCCAGCTCTGCTAAAGGAGCAATAACCCCAGAGCAGACTGCCACAGAAGCAAGCCCACAGCATCAAGGTTCATCAGCTACAAGCCCCTACAAGGCCAGATGTGTTATCAGTGAACAGAGTCATATTTTTACAGAAACAGATTGTCAGCAGAGTGATTAAGTGGATGAGATGCTTTATGCAGAGCCACTGACAATGAGAATAAAGAAAAAGCCGTATTATGTTCTAAGCGAAAATCATCAGGAAAAAAAATGCTGTTAAGATTAAAACAAGAATAGAAAGCAAGACCTTTTCTAAAACCAGATTTCAAATAGGGATGACTTCTGTTAATTTGTGGAGCCAAGTAAAAAGGGAAAGAAAACCTCCAAATATCAAACACACAGAGAAAAATTACTTTAAGTATGGATATCCCACAGGGGAGAGTAATCTAGTAAACAACAAAACCAAGACAGATGTAGATATAAGACTGAGAAGAGAGTCTACCTTGGAATTTTAATGCAATAAGATGACATGGGAGGGTCAGAGCAGTTTTTCAGCAATATGTGGCCAGACAGTGCATGCCCAAGAAGGAGGCCACAGTGACTTTGCCAGTAGTTGTCGTAGTGGCACTTGAAGCACTCTGGCAAAAATTAGCAGTTTTGACAGCTAATTAACAAATTGGAGAGAATTTATACCAAGACTAGTGATTTGAGAGGGACTTGCAAAGGAAGATGAAAAGCTACTGCAACTTGAGCATGACCCAGGTCTGTGACTCTTTATTGAAAGAGTGATCCATCAAACCACAGGAGAGCTATTCCAAGGTGAAAATCCCCTTCTAATAACTGCTTAAAACAACTAGAACCTGTACAAACAAAATGCTCTATAGGGTATCTATGCACTAGCCGCTGCACTGGACTAAATAACCTACTGGGTTTTCTTCTGCTGAGTCAAATACTTTATAACATTCATATTTATGGCATTTCTTGACTTCTTCCATGGAATGGTGTGTTGTCTCCTCTTGCCTCCAATTCCATCTATCCCCCGAGGCTTGGGAATTGCAAATGCTGATTGGAGGTGACAGGAGCTGCTCTCACCTGCCTGACAGCTCTGCCAAAAGGGTCTGATACTTAACTCCAAAATCGGCTTCCACGGAATGAGTGCGGCGGAATAAAGGGAGCAAAGAGCACCAGGCTAAGGCGGGCTCAGATGAACTGTTCACTCTGCCACACAAAATAAACCCAAAACATCTAACGAGAAAACACACATTTCTATTTTTCCTCTCATTAGAACAGAATTTAAAATGAATGAATGGAAAGAAAAGCTTGGCCCCTTCAGAACTTAAAGAATGGACTTAAAATCTCTTCACTAAAAAAAATGGAAAATATATCATAAATGCATGTCTGCCTAGAAGCTTCTGCCATTGATTTCTCTAGAGACAGTTCAGTGTAGCAGATTTTAAAGTACAGAGACATATTAATTAACTCAGAGTGGGAGGGAGGCAGTAATTGCCTCACAAAGATTGAATTGAAGGAAGAGAACAGAAGGGCTACTGGCCTCAGAGAGCCTCCCTCTCATGAAGGTCTTAATCTGCAAAAATATCAAAGGTTGAACCTCATTATTTAGTAGATCCTGAAATCCCACAGCATAAAGAATTAACACAAATGGGCTCCAATTTCAGGTTACCACAATATGCTGGGCAGCGAAGTGTCACAGTCCAGGAACAATGTGGAGAAGGACAGGACACTTCTGTCTTTCTGTAAATTCTCCTGTGCTGGGTGAGGAGGTTCACCAAGAGTTTTCATTTTAAAGAGTCAGTCTCCAGCCTTTGTCATTGGAGAGATTTATTTCAAAACATCTGGCTTGTGTAATTGTTGCCTGCATCTGTGCAAGCCTTAAATAAGTGCTGCAAGATGTGAACTGTTCTACTCATTCCGATGAGTGCTGATTTATAGGCCCATATGATATTTTAAATGTCAACACTGCAAGTCCTTTCAGGACAGGTAGGAAAAACAAGCAAATGAGAATTAAAATGAGAAAGATTTACACCAGTGTTTACCAGGGGAAGGGAGGGCTATATAAAAGACCAATTAAAGGAGGTACATTGAGATTTATAGACTTTTAACATCATTTGGTGGGGCTGGGAGTGTGAGGAAGAAGGAGAGGACATCAAGATAGGATCCATTTTCCTAAAAAAAAAAAAAAAATTGGAGTCAGTGCTCAGAAATTCTGCTTTAAGCAGAAATATCCACAGTAAGATGTACTGAAGCAAAAAACCTTGTGCTGAGCAAGGCCATGATTTTCCAAAGCTAATTGCTAGTAGCTTTGAAAAACAAGTGCAGGACTGTGAGCTGCTAGAAAATGGATCCTTTTCTGCTCCCTCAGAGAAAAAAAATACATAATAATTTCACAGTTTTAGACAAGTTACTTGTGGATGGTGCTGCTTCATACATTTCTGCTTTGAGACTGATGCATACTCAAGTCAAAAGACAGACTGTGTTGTGCAATCTATTTGTAGGGCTGGATTGAAACATGATAGAAAGGAGAGCTGCCTGGGAGATCTGCAACCCCTGTTGCTTTCTAATTATTCATCTTCAAGAGCAGTGGAGAAGAGATATAAAGCAGGTATTTTTCATTTTTGCTGCAAAACCCACTCCACGTTACCTTTGAAACAGCTGGACATACGCACTGGGGGCCTTCCCTGCCAGAGCCTGGCGTGTGGCAGAGTGACGTCTCTGGAGAGAAGCTTCCTCCTGATAAAAAATAAGCAAAACTTTTAGACAGTAACTTGAAAGCCCACAAGGTAACTTAATTGGCTGTGACGTTCTTCTTTTTTGTTAAGACTCTAGAGGACATGTGTTATATATTCTAGGGAAGAGCAGAGCTAACTTACAATGTGGTAAATATGATTAACCAATCTAGACAAACTGAATTTGCATCTGAAATCTTGCTGAAAAATAGCATTGTTTCACTGGCTTCATCTTCAGTAAAGCCCTCATTTCTTGTAAAAGTCAAAATGTAACAGGGTGTAGCAGGAAGGAATGATTATGGGGAACTGCTCTTGATGCATCCCAACCTCACAGCATATTAGAGCAGGAATAATTCTAGTTATGGTGTTTTTTAAGTTCCTTTTCACCAATAGTCAACTGACTATAGTAGAATTTGCCTCTGCTGCATCTTCAATATATGCCTTTGCCTCCTTATTCCAGCCATGCAGGAAACCTGCCTTACCAACACTACCTCAATCAATATTGTCCCCTTGGAGGGGGAATGACCTTTTCCCAATTCCACTTAGTTAAAAGGACTTTGTACAATACATATCTCAGCAGATTGGAAAATGTGATCCTGAGTTTTAAGGACCTGCTATTTAACAGGTGCTTTAGCACAGAGTAATTACTCGGATAGGACAAATCCAGAGCTACAACATGCTTAAAAAAACCCCAATGTGTTAAATCACAGAGAAAAATTACTAAATACTGCTTTGTAAACAGCTGGATAGACAGATGACACATCTGTCCGTAGACATGAACAAGAGAATACAACTAATCTGCTGAGTGTTCACATTATGGCCATGGCAACTACTTCCCTTTCCTTCACTATTCAGGCTCCCATGCTCACTGAGCTTGTGCTTTGTTTTGTTTTCTTTCCATAAAGATGCAGTTCTGTCCCCTTTTTCTCTCTGCAGATTACACATAAAAACTCCTTTGTGCTCATATGCTGTATAGTTAAGTACAACTATATGAAACTGGTGCAGTGTTGACATGCTCAGCATGGGATAAGGCAGCAGGGGAGCAGATTTACCTTCTTTCTCCATGTAACAGAACCTGCCTCTCATCTTGCTCTTGGGTAATTCACAGCATATTCTTATTCCCTTTTCCACATGATAGGACTGAAATTTGGTTATTGCAGTAATATCATACTACTTGGGTGTCAAAAGCATGCACAAAAAAGTCATTTGCAGTCCCAAATGTAACAATTTAGCCAAGATTTTACTTTAAGGACGCATATATTTATATTCTTCATATTAAATATGGTCAAAAAGATACCTGTGTTTCTCCTTGAAGGTTTTACTACATTGACACTTCAGCTGATGCTGTAAAAAGTTATTCACATGTAAAAATGCACTGAGAACTTAGTGTAGTAAATAAGTAAAAGGTATTAATGGCACTGAACAAGGAGACTTATAAGAAAGAGAACCTTGCAGACACTGTGTAACTTAAACACAAGGTAAATTATAGTCTCCTTCATCATAACCACTTCTCTCTGACTTGACAAAACATAAACTTTCCAAATAAAAATAAGCAGATGGAATAAAAAGTGAGAAAAATGAATTGCTGGGAAAGAAGGGGAGGCACAAAACTACCACGGTAAGAAAAATTCTGGCCCTCTCACTTTAAACTGACCAAATTTTCCTTGAAAGAATCATGAAAAAGAGCCACACTCGTGACATTTTCCAAATTCTGCATGGCTTGAAAATAAAAGTATTTCATAATGAGAGAAATTAGAAAGATGGGAGGTTCCCCACCTATGAAAGCTGATTTGCTGTCATGTTTCTGCACACAGAGCAGAGCCTTTTTAAAGGCCAGGAAAAGATGGGGGGCTTCTCTTACTTTGCTTTTACACAAACTCTAAACAAGAGAGGTAGTTTTAAACACAGCAAGAGTGGCAAAAGTGTCTAGCAAGTCATGTCAGGTAGGACTCGTATGGGATGGGAGACACAACTTAAAGATGTCATTTTTGTTTTATTTTCCTTTTTCTTGTTGTTATCATCGGAGAGGAGCATTAGGCACATCTGTTTCATAGCCCCACATGCCCCAGTGCCTTCAAGAACGAATATTTTTGGGGAACAGACTGCTAAAGACAAGAGGGAAAGTTGAAAGAGGTTATTTGAAATCCAGGCACGTTGTCGCATGCGCAGATTGAGAAAGGAAAAGCAGGTGACAAATGTGCTTAAATGTCATCTTTGGTAGTTGTGAGTAGCAAAAACACTCTGAGACACTCAACTGAAGTAGCTTTTCCACTGTCACAAGATGATGTTTATTAGCGGTCCTCATATTCCTGTTAACTGCATCTCCCTCTCTACTCTGAATAGGGTATTTTTCCTATCTTTTTGAAACACAAGAGAGATGATCTTTAGCTCCTTTACACCAGCACACAATCGGATGAAATCCATTAAAATTAACTCTGGATTTATTCTGGAGTGAAGTTAAGCAGGAAAGCTTGTCCCCTCAGCTGAATTTACTTGCATCATTCTCATCAATCTGCCTTTAACTCACAAAATTAAAGACAAAATTAAAGAAGTCCAGAGAAGGGCAATCAGATTGCTCTGGATAAAGAAGGGTCTGATGACACACATCTGTTTTGGACTTATCATTTCCATTCTGAGGTTAGAGCTAATTCTCCTTACCACGGGGGCCAGTGGTGGAGCAAATCCATCTGAGATGCTTGCTGAGTAGCTTCTGGCAGAAGAGTCCAAGAATTCATTGGCAGACAAAGACTCAGCAGTCCTGGCAATTACTCCACTGGGTGACAACCTCTGATCTTGTAGGAACCTCATTCTTGAACCTAGTTGGGGAAAGGTCCTTATCAACACAAATATTCTGCATGGCACACTGCTTACAAACAGCACAAATCCTAAAAGAAACACGACATTTTCCACAGATATTTTTTTCTTTGCAAAAGATTACATTATAATGAAAATTATAATCAATGTCAACTACTCAGTTCCATCAAAAAATTTTTAAAATCTTCAAAGCACTTTGCAGATAAAAGACATTTAATCTCCCTAAATACTTAGGTAACTGAAAGCTGTGAGATATCTGAATCCCACCCCTTAAAACCTACCTTATTGGACTAGGAAGAGATGCTTAACTTTGTGTGTAAATGAATTTGTCTTGGGGACCATGCTATGACCTCTAGGCTAACCAAAACCAACCTGTTTAGAAGCTTTGACCTCCTTGGAGCTCCTGGAATCTGATGGGGAGTTAGAGCCTTTTCTTCTGTTACGTATCTGATTTTCTATGGACACAAATCCAAATACCTTTGCAGCTTGCAAGTAATCAAACACACAACTAAGCCAAAGAGCTGGACACTAGTAACTCACTCCTTTTTTCCAAAAACACTTCTTCAAGATAGAAAAATCCCTAAAATCCCTATACAAGGGGATTAGGGTTTAGTCTATAAAATTACATCTAAATATTAACTCAAGTTGCAAAAAAAAAATCTTATGAATAGTGGTGCATGGCAATTTTTGGAAAAATCCAGTCATAAGAACAGTTTCATTTTACTGTGTACCATATCAAAGCACTTCTCCTGAGGAGCTGACAGCCTAGAAGTCACATAACACCCGCAGAGGGGGGCGGATGAGAAGCCAACAGACCCCCAGTTTATGTGCACATTCATATTCTACAGGTGGTTTATATATATATATATACTTATGCGTTTATATGAAGTTTCACATTCAGCACATGACTTCAGCCTGGCCATTAGAAACGGCTGGTTTGGAGCTGCCAGAAGATCAGATGAAGCAGATGAGAGGAGATTGCTGAGCAGACTGCAAATAACCCACAGAATCCAACCCCTCCGGGGTGCAGAGCCGAGCACAGCCAAGACGCTGCTGGGATTGCTGATGCCCAGCATCACAAATAACCCCTTTTTAACACAAGTGCCCCCTTCCTCATTTGTAGGATGCAATTAGTAACATGCACATCCCAGGCCTGCTGCGAGATGATAGGTGTAGCCCCAAAACACCCAAATCCTTGGGTGAAAACTGCTAGCAAAACTACGAAGTATTATCACCTTTGGAATGTGTTATATTTCTGCTATTAAAAGTTTTTACAAAAACAGCTTATCTGTTTTCTCCCAGTATCTTTACTCCACGCACGAGCAAAGGATCTTGCACAGCAGTTCATTAAAAGAAGAATTAACAACCTATCATGATCTCACACAACCAATCTTCCCTTTGCTGCTATCTCACTAAAAATGTCCGTATTAAAGACAACCTTGAGGCAACTTTTTAGAAATAAATTATTCCACGCAGTCCATAAGAGGAGATGACTTCTAGAAAGAGGATGGTTAAATTTATTTAAACACCTCTAAGTGAAGCTCTAAATGAATTTAATGGTGCATCGTAAATTTAAAAGTTATTTCATGGACAACAGAACTACCCAAACCGATACCATTAATGAAGTCTCTGTAACCAGTGACAAATCACTCACTGAAAGAACTCAGAATTGCTGAGGATTATGAGCAGAGTCCTTAAAGGAATTCCAGGTACATATATATATTATATATATATATTCAAAAATACTGTGCTTATATACAAATCTTTTGTCTTTAACCTTCCCTCCTTTCCTTCTTCCCTGATAATCTAGTTAGGGTTTGGTGGTTGGCTTTGCCTCTTAGGATAAAATGTCTCCAGTGATTTTAAGACAAAGAAGTAGCAAGATTATTATTATTTTTTTATTATAAAATTATTTACCTTAGTAAATAAGGCAAATAAGTCTTCTTTTTCAAAATCCATTCATCCCTATTTCAAACAAATATGCAAGCTCTGGAAATGAAAATAAAATCTACATAGATTAAGATTAAATAAGAATCTTCAGAGAGGTCCCCATGGCTGCAGCACTGAGATGCCACAATATGTGTAGAAGCTTTTGCTTCTCCATTGGGAAATCAGCATTTATTAGTTCTTGCAGGATATAAAATTACTTGAAATAATGAAGTGATGAATTTTACACTATCCTTCATTAACACTTGGAGAGATTTTTGCCCTCCCTTCAGCTACTTTATTTGCAGCCTTCTGAGCCATGTAGAAGGGCACGAATATTGGCTCTTTGCTACTTAGGAAACTAATTACCCTCCTGTTGCAGCGGATCTAACCAAGACAACTGTCAACCATGGAGGGTGTTCGTATAAATGAGTTTTTTCTCAGTCTGTGCTGTGCAATATCTTACTACAATAATATCTGTTTCTTATTTCTTTTACTCGGTATCCTAGAGACTACATTTTCCTTTCAGCCCAGCTGGTAACCTGTCCTATTCAGTGCAAATATAATGGTTACAGCTGAATTCTCATGAGTATTTTTAACTCCTTTAGGGTGTGCTCCCTCTGACAAGAGCAGTTTACTTTGTTTTTTCCATAAGCAACCACGCACCTCTTCTCTTACACTACTGCTTCCTCGAGTCAATTATATAGCTATCATCTGATGCATCTGATCTGGGAATGGATCTGTCTGGAAATATTTCTTTCTTTTTTTAGTTTTGGGGGGTTATTTTAGTGGGAATCATTCCCTGATCCAGATTATGTTGGCTGCACAAACAGCCCTAGCCCTAACAACAATCCTAGGGGTCAAAAGGAATTTGGAGTCAGTTGCCTTCACCCACCTTCCTATGCTGTTTTTCATATAACTCCTCATGTTTTGGCCTGGCATTCATCCCTAATGAGTGGGAGATCTTTGGTCTGAGGGTGTCCCAGCAGGGTCACACAACACACTCATCTGCACGTTGTCACTTTGGGACACACAGCAGGAAAAAGCCCCTGGAAAGAGCTCATTAAAGATCCCCATCCCAGGGATGGGGCAGCCCAGGAGACCCATCACAGGGAGGCAGATCCATTAGGGCCTCGCTCACAGATTTTAAGCCTTGTAATGAGTAAATGGGATTACTTTACTGATGATTCTATGATTCCTTGTGCTAGGACACAATACCTGTTACTGCATTGCTGTTCAAGTCTGGAGAGCTATCAAAAACTGCAGGTGGTTCCAGACCCAGGTACTCCTTTATGAGGGAATTCAGCTCTGTGAAGGCCTCATCCAGTTCATCTGCAGGCAGGAATACGCATTTCACGGTGCAGAAAAAGAACATATAACAAAAGAACAAGCTTTCATCAGCACAGAGTTACAGAATCACAGCAGCTTGAGACACAAATATATTCCTAACTCATTCAGCTCATTTCTTTGGGAGTACAATCCTCATAAATAGCAAATTCAAGAAAATAATCTGAACTTCAGCTCACTTCTAAGTTTTTACATTCAGCCTAAACCTTCCCCTCCTGCACTTTGGTTTACTGTATATTATTCATTTAATATTGTATATTAAAACTGTAAGTTCCATTTGCTCTTAATAATAGCTAGAAATACTGTATTTCACACCACTATGAAATATGTTTCACCACCACAGGTGGTGAACCACAAAACCACTTTCATGAAAGGGCAGTCAAAGAAAGAACTAGAAGACGATTCCTCTCCACCACCTCCCATCCCCAATGCCAAAGAGGGCTGAAGAGCTCGACATCCAACAATTCAGATCTGTAGTAGGAAGGAGTATTAACTCACCTGTGTTAATTACTGCATCAAAGTATCCTGGCAAATCCTGATTTATTTGGATGTACATGTCCACTCGGGAGACTGCCTCTTCGATCTCTGGCCTGCTGAATAATCCCTTTCTTCGCAGATGCCCCTCATATTTTTCTTTGCTCATTGGTATTAACAGGATATATCTGGGCTCAAAGTAGCTATTTTTCAGACTACGCACACCCTTTAAAATTAAACAGAAAACAATCCTTTTTTGTTGTTCCTGAAAGCGAGTGCCTATGGAACATGTAGGTGTGATCAGGTCAACTTTGCATTTATCACAAACCACAAAAGCAGGACTGGAAACCTGAATATAAGTCTACACTTCTCAAGGTCTGGCATCAAATTCACCGGGGAGCCAAGTTAAAGGTGAGGGACTCCACAGTCTACACGTGGAAAGTGTTGTATAAAAATAGAATAACTTAATTCATTGTCTTCATACACTTCACATATCCAGCAGTTAAATGCTTTTTCTTCTTTGCCATCTCTTCTACTGCATCACAACCTGTGAGTACCAACAAGTTGCACTCCTGTACCACTACAGCCCTTACAACTTACCTACATCAACTTCCTACATCATCACTTCAGTCCTTGGCTTTTCAGAATGAACAAACAGAGAATTTTCTTCTCAACTGGTATATTTTTGAGTGGAAATGAGCAAATTCATTGCAATACAGATGTATTTTATTTTCCTGAAGCAGTTTGCAAAGGTATAACATACATATATATATATATATATATATACATGCACACTATATATATATATATGTGTGTGTGTATATATATATGCACACCTCCCAATACTGGTATAAGTTCCTCAGCAGAGATATGAGGTGAGGCATTCTTTGTCTCCTACCTGGCACCACTCTTGTATTTCTGATAGCTCTCCCTTGCACCACCTCATAGTACGATGAATCCGCTATGTATGTAACAGAATAACATAATATATAACACATTTATAACAAATATAAACCTGGTGCTCTCCAAAACATTTTAAAAATACAGTCAGATACAAGCAAAGTCATGCAAAAAAGCACTAATTGGCTGACTTTTTCTTTTACCCCATTTGCAGCGTGTTAATCATGAAACTAATCTGAACCTTTGAAAATCTCAGGGGGCAATTCGGAGGAAAACTGTATTTTTGGTGAAAAACAAAAGGGAGAATTTGGGGCCTTGAAAACTTAGTATTTGGATATACAACCACGTGCCTTTAGCTAAGCCTGTGGTCAAGTCAGAGGTCAGACAAGCAGTTGAAAGGAGCCCCAATATGTTCAACCCTAATAACACCCTCACCTCAAGTTGTACCACGAACACCAACTTTTTCATACACACAGAGTGTGCCTGAATCGTAGCAGCTTCGTTGACAAGTGAAGACTCAGCAAGATTTGACTGTTCAAAATTGGTATCTGACCCCTTTACCAGTGAAAATTATACTCTAGATTAAAAGGAATACACAGGTCTTTTTTTTTTTTTTTTTTGGTCTCAGCGCATGGACCATCATTAACATTTCTTTTAATAGTGCTTAATAGTCACATTTGTTATGAGCTTAGTACAAGATAACGGTCTTGGATAACTTCTATTCGATACATAATTCACTATTATTGTTTCTCATCTGCTAGCAGAACACACAGCCCTTCAAGACTGTGTATAATTACTATGAGGTCTTGAAACCTGAGCAACAAAGGAAATTTTTAGTTGTCTAAAACCCAGTTAAAGTTTTGGTCACTCCCCATGCAGCTGAGCTAATCTCATGAATAAACATGGAGTTCCAGTAAGTTCTTTCTCCTAAATTATTTAATAACACATGGACTTTGGGAAGAATTCAGTGCTTTAAAAGGCACCCTGCTCCATGGTATTTCATCTTCTCCTATTTGTCTTCCCTTGAAAATTCAGGATCTGTTCGGCAAGACAACAAACACATTCGATACCTGTTTCAATCAGGACAGACTGAGGATGATTCACAGCTTTGACAAGACAGAGGAAAAGGAACTGCACAGAGCTCAAGTTAATGAATTGCTGTTTAATACCGGGTAAGTAACAGGCACTCGAGCAGGATTCCACCACTAAATTGCTGATCCTTTGGGAAAGGAGCTACCATTCAGTTATTTGTACATTTATATGCAAGTCAATCAATGGGTGCACGTTTATCTGGGTCAGATGGGACAAATGCTCCTCAGGAACACTACGGCTTTGACCTGATAGCGGGTTTTTTGAGCATCATTTTCACAAAAATAATAAACCTAAAAGTAATTAAATTGAATATCAATTTTTGCTTCTGTTTCCTTAGTTATCCCCCTTAACCATGGATGCCCAGTGCAGGGTCCTGAGGTAGCATCACAGTCCCCCACACTCCCTTTTTCACTCTGCTAATTCCTAATCCAGGAGTGCAGCAGGATCCTTGGATTTGCAGCAATCCCACAGAGGTAAGGCTGAGCCCAAAGAATGTAGTGAAACCCAGTAAAAACTGGCATCACACACGGGACATTCTGTAGTGTCTCACTTTGGAAACTCATAATGATGAAGCTTATTTTGAAGGAGTTTGGAAGGAAGAGTGCCTTTTCTTTTTGTCACCTCAGCCCTTAGCTAGTAAATCTCAGTCCCTCTAAGATAATGAGAATTATATAATTAGAAAATTAGCTAAAAGGTTAATTCTCATTCTTTTGGGATTCGAGTGAATGAGTTTTGACACTCTGTTTGTGACCTAATTTCCTAGGCAAGACCTCTGAGATTTTGCCATCTGTGCATGTGCACCTGACAAACCTCAGATGGAGCAAAGCAACCCTCATAGCTTGCAGATTTGAACAGCTCTGCCCAAACCGTGGCCTCAGGGCTCCGTGCATCCTCCATTGCTCCATTTGATCCATACTAGGGCATCCAAGACATCCACGTCTGGTAGATACGTTGCAAGACCTCAGGAAGACCCATATTTTTTTGGATCAGCAGCTGTAGGCCAGGCAGAACACTGTAGGACATCTCTTAAGTTATTAAATGTCTGCATCTACGCAGCTGAAACAAGCCCTTAGTCAGACAACACAAATTCCTCCCCTCCCTGGGATATTTTTCCAAAATGGTTAAGCAATAAAGAATCCTCACCTCTATTTCTAGGTGGACACAGGTTGCAAGACCCTCTCTGGCAATTGATTCGATCGTATCTCTTCCAAGTCCATAATAATAGCCACTGTATTTAAAAGTTGCTAAAAATTTCCCCTGAAATTCAAAATAGTGAGTATCATCAGTGATAAGGAGGCACAGAATTTTCAGAGAAGAGCAGGTAACCAGGCCTGAAGGTTAGAGATCACTTGCTGAAGACTCTGTTGGCTCCCCTGTTTACATATGGGCAAATAAATGAGCCCTACTCTGGTTTTCCAAGCCCAAATTGTATTGCAGGCAGCAAAAGGCATCAGAGAACCAGCAGCTTGGAAGCACAGTGTCTTCAGAAAGAAGCCAACTGCCTTTAGGGGGAATTTGCTCAAAGAGGAAAGACTGCATTCCCTGCAGGCCTGCTGTGTTGACAGGGGAAGAAAAAAGCCATAGCAGTTATTTCAAGGATTTTCCTTCTCTGCATCCACACTAGCTATTTGCATGTGCAAATAAGTTGATTTTTTTGCATTACAACATTGTTTAAAAGATTCCTGCGGACCACTGTGCCCACTTACTGTGTATATGCATATAAACACACTCAATAAAAGACAGCCTGCACATTCAGTGCACCTAAGCCATATAGCTGTGAGTGAGCATGAAATCACAGGCATAAACTTTAAAAAGGGAAGAAATCAGCCGTGGACAGAGCAGTTGAGTTCACTCTGACTGTAGGAAATAGGCCCACTAGGATGTTAGCCCAGTACTTACCATGTTTAACATTTTGTCAAATGCTTCTTGAGAAACGAAGTAGTAATCAAGTCGGTTTTCTTCGCCAAAGTAAGCTGCCCTGGTGGTGTGACAGGGACTGGAAGATATATGGTATAATAAAGAAATAACCTGTTTTCAATCACAGAAGAAGCTATGGAATAGGAGAGGGGGGAAAGGGGAGAATTCTATAAATCATTTTATTTTTAAGGAGAAAAGAAATATGAGAACTACAAAGAGGTGCAAATCATACCACTAATGCTGCATATTTGAAAGATTAACGAATAAATACAAAAAAAAAAAAAAAGTTTAAATGTAGCATTACGTTTTGGCTATAAATCCCTTTCCAACCCAGGATAGCCTGAACTGAAGCTGTCCCAGCACTCTGTAATAGAGAAATGATGAAACCATTTTTTTCCAGTTTTGTCAGCTTATGGATGATGTGAAGAAGAATCCTAAATATGGAAGAGGAAGCTGGAAGTTAGGCTGAACTGTGAGTTTAAGATATATAAAAAAAAAGAAAACAATTTTTAAAAGGAGCCCTAATAATAAGGGTGGAAACTACCCCAAAATTAGGGAGATAAGTGTAGATAAGATTCCTACAATGCAGGAAAAAGCCACCACATAAGGGCAGTAGGATAAAACCCAGATATCTGAGCTTTCTATTAGGACAAAATACTGAAAAACACAAACAAAAAATCCTCTTGGAATTCTGTTACATCATTCTGGAAAACATGGCAAAAAATGTACCACCCACTGGGCTTGCCCACATCGGTACATTTCTAATTTTTAATACTTTTTGAAAAGGCAAATAAGAACCAGACAGGGAAACTGGGTTTAGTGGTTAAAGATGCAAATAGGGGAGTATGGAACAAAAAGAAGCCTCTTTAGAGCAAGGCAAGTCTGGAGCAAGGCAAGTGAGCTCTACACTGCAACTAGTACCTAAAGAGGCAGGTAAATTCCTAAAGTGGCAGCACTTTTTAAGCCAAAAGCAATGATTTTTTTTCCTTTTTGTTTGAAAATGATGC